GGAAGAACCTGCAGCTTCTCCCCTGAGCCTCACAGCCACCCAGCGTGGTGTCAGTGACCCTGCTCACAGGCAGGAGCCCACCCGGATCACAAGCAAGACCCCAAGATCACAGCTGTAGGGAGAGTAGGGGGCACCTACGCAGATCTCTGTTGCCCGTACGGGTGCCCTGCCCCAAGAGAAGTGGGAGGAGAGCTGGAAGAGGGGTGCAAGGGAAGGGGGGAGGAGGATCTCGGAAGGCTCCCCTCCCCCAGCACCTGCATCCAGCACCAGCGCGTTTGGCCCTATGCGAGCAGCCCAGACTTTCTGACCTTTGCTTCTGACCTTTGTCTTCTGGCGACTGCCTGAACCAAAACAGGCTGCTCTGGGGACAGGGTTCCAGGTGGGCTGGTAAGAATGGGGGTCTGGAGGGCACCCCCAGAAATGCCCCTCCTCCTGAGCCTTCAGACAGTGGCAGGGCAGGTTACCAAGCACCAGCTACCTGTGGGTATGTCACAGGGTGCTGGGACCAACTTCAGCTCTGCTCTGGGGGCTGGAGGGAGGGGGGAGCCATGGGTAGGGGAGAACCACAGGTTCCAATGTCCCCCAAAACAGCAGTAGGGAGAAGGGCCCCAAAGACAAAGGACAGCATCTAACAAAAGAGCTGACCCAGTGGGCCAGGGAGGGCATCCCAGGGTGATGGTGGCCAGACAGTGGTTGACAGTGGAGAGGTAGCCCAGACAGATTCCAGAGAAATGCGAGAGGGAGAATCAGGATTTGGTGATGCACTGGAGACCTCAAGATCCCTGCCAGGAGTCCAGCAGGTGGGTGGGCAGAGGAAGTACATTCAGGAGATGGGAACGGGTCAGGGGAGAGGGGTCCTGGTGGGGTCCTGGGCATCTGGCAGTGGGAACATTAGGAACTGTCCAAGGGAAAGTGGAGGGGAATGCAGAGAGAAGGAGGTGGGAACGCCAGCCTGGAAGCCAGAGCCATGGGAGAACTTTCCAGAAGGAGGGCATGACCATCCATGTCCCCAGATACTGAAAGGCCAGGAAAGATGAGGCCCCAAAGTGTGCATGAGATTTGGTGACCCTGCGGTCACTGGGGGCTGACTGCTGGGGTGTGTGGGGCGGGGGGGGGGTTCCCGGAGGGAGGGGTTGTGCTGTTGGATGAACGGTGCTGGAGGGTGCTTAAGGGAGATGGCGCGGTACCCTCGGGCTTAAAGAGGCACCCCAGGAGCCGCCCTTCCCCGCCTTGGCCCCCCACTCCACTCCGGCGCGGTGGGAGGGTCGCCTAAGAGCCACGGTGCGGGGTTAAGTGAGGGGTCAGTCCTTCCGACAATCAGTACCCGGGAAAGAAGCTGTGAGGGCCCGGGAACGCGGAGGAGACGAGAGGAAGGGGCGTGGAGTCACAGCCCCCACGCCCGGCCGCGCGCCCGCCACACACCGCACCTGTCCATCCACCGCTGCTGTCCCCGCGGGGAGCTGCCGTCTGCCGGCCCGGTTCGCCGGGGCGGGGGTCTGCCGAGTGAGCTCTGGGTTGGGAGTTCTGCCGGGCGGGGTCCGCGGGGAGGACCCCGTGGGGTAGGAGTCCGCAAGGCAGGAGTCGGGCACGGGTGCGCGGGGAGGGGTCTGCGGGCAGGGGCTCCCGGGCCCGCAGTCGCTCCCCGAGGCGCGGCAGGAGGGCGGCGGCGCGGGCGGGGACCCTCGGGCCGCTCCCGCCCCGCCCCCGCCCCCTCCTCCTCTCCCTCCGCCGCCGCGGAGCGTAGCCGCCGGAAAGTTTGCTAGAGGCTGGCGCGGGGCGCGGGGCGCGGGGCGCGGGCGCGGAGCCGGCGCCGACCCTGACCTGGCAGCGCCGTGGAGACGAGCGGCGGCCGGCCCCTAACCCGTGCGCGCGGAGGACTACGGGAATCGCGAAGCGGCCGGAGTGGCGCGCGGTGAGCACCTGGGCCAGGCTCGAGAACACGTTCCCGGCCGGGGGCCGAAAGCGGGAGCGCGGGACTGGCCGGCGTGGACCCCTATCTTAGGTGGGCGGTCTCGGGCCCCGGGTGTCGCCGTCCTCATCGCCGTCGGACACCCCGTTCCCAACCCCAGGATGCGCCCTTCCAGCTCGGACGGTCAACCTGGTTCCGCACTATCGAGAAAGTTGGGGGTCTCAGCGCTTCCCCCGTCCTCTCCTCCCTGGGGAGCGCGTCTCGGGGAAAAGGGTGGGGTGTCTGTGAGCGCCAGGCGCGCTGTCCTGCTGCCCATCTCCGCTCCCGACTCCTCCCTCCAGCACCCCCGCTTCCCCGCCCCCCCCCCGCCCCGCGCAGACACAGAACCTCGGAGACACCCCCAGAGGCGCGGGGGGCAGCCCTGCTTCCCTCCAGCGGGCCCCTGCTTCCCAAAGCTCTCCAGCAGTATCTTGGTTACCCGGGTTTCCCCGGAGGGGCCGAGGGGCGTCATGCGCGGAGCCTACACTTGTCACTTTGATCCGCAGGGAGGGCAGGTCACTGCCCTGCCTGCTCCTTCCTCTCCGGCGGCCCCCACTCACACTTCTGGGCCGCAGGATTTCTGCCCCCCACCAGAAACGGACTGACTCCTGAGGTCTGGGCGCCCGCATCTTCTGAGGACCTGTCCAGGCTGTTTTCGGCCCTTCTGTGCTGGGGGATGAGGGTTGGTGGGGGAGTAGCACCCTGGCCCACATCCAGGCCCGCCCTGCCCCCACAGAGTGGGAAGAGGACGCAGGAATCAGGCTTTGTCAACAACCTGTGGCCCCTGATCCCGCCCTGGGGCCATGACCTTCCTCTACTTGCTCTGGTTTCACAAACACCCCCCACCCCCATACCCATCAGAGGCTGGCAGGCCTCAACCACACCTATTCAGATCCTGGGAGGAGCTGGGGTGACCAGCGCCCCACTCTCCTCCATGGAGATCCACCCATCCTGGGGGCCCCTCCCCCAGCTGCAGGTCTGGGAGTCCTGGGGCATCCCCAGGGGAAACTGGAGAAACAGCTGAGCTTTGAGCACCCAGGAGTGGTGTGTTCTGCCAGGCGGGGAGACAGAACACCGGCCAGCCAGCCCGTGGTGGAGAGCGGGGGCTGGGAAAGAGAGGAGGGGGTGGGCTGGGGCCGGGGGAAAGCTGGCCCTCCTTCCCACTCCACCAGAGTCTCTGATCCTGAGCTATCTGTGCTGGGCAGGTGCAGTCCAGGGCCAGAGAGGGAGCGAAGCCTCCAGGTCCATGAAGGGAGAAGGCTTGGTCCCTGGCCGGTAGTCCCCCGCCTCCCCCCACCGGGGAGGGTAATAAGGTGGAAGACGGCAGCCCTGACGCCAAGGCCAATGGGAGGCTTGGAGCGGCACCTCCGCACCCCAGATATTTATCCCTGGGGCTGGCAGGCTGCCTCTGGGGTTGCAGTGTCCCCCACGGAAGGGAGGGGCCTGCACGTGATAATCTGTCCTTCCCGTCGAGCGGCACATCTCATTGTCCTCCATGGTGTTGAGGAGGCAGGGACTTTTCAAGTAGGGAAACCGAGGCTCTGAGAAGTTGAATTATTTACCCTTGGTCCCGGGACCAGAACTGGGCCTTGCAACGTCCCCTGCTCCTGTGGCGGCAGCCTCACACCTGGGTGCTCAGGGCAGGGATCTTAGAACCTCAGCCTTGCACAGCTGAAAGTCGTTCCACAGCCCCACACTCCGCCCAGTCCTCATTCAGAGAAGTGTCTAGATATCTCGCCCGTACTCCCCTGACAGGCATGGGAGCCTCATCCACTTCTGCCCCTTGTGTTTCTATCAGAGACGTAGTGAGAGGTATCATCCTCTGCTCTTGTATTGGTTGGGGGGTGCTGAGGCCCTGATCCCTAGGGACGTGGGGCCACCGGTGCTCTGAGCTGGGGTACCAGCTTGTGATCTGTAGGTGCTGAACTGCGTGGAGTGAATCTTCAAGGATTCCCAGCCCCACGTACCAGACCAGGGATGGGAGTGGGGGTCATGGAAAGGCCTCCCTACTCCTCTGCTCTGGCTGCCATCGGAGGGGCAGTGAAGGAGGGGCCCCAGGGCAGCCCATCCCTCTCTCCCCTCTACCCCGGGGCTCAGCTTCTCTCTGTGGTTCCCAGACTAACTGACCCCTAGCTGGAAGGCAGGCTGCTTGGGTGTGGCCCCGCCTACCTTGGGTTCTAACAGCCCTAGGAGGTCAGCAAGGTGAACTCCCACTTTTCAGATGGGAAAGTCGAGGCACAGCCTGGCCACCACACCCCAGCTGGACTCTGAGGGGCTGACATTTTGCCTTGGAGCTCCTCACTGGACTATCCCCGCAGCTTCATCCTCCCTTCACCACCGGCTGCAGGGCCCCTGGGCAGGGGGCAGTATCCTTCCTCCCCATGTTCCCTGCCTGCATCTCCACTGTCTACTCCACCCCAGCCATCCCTTGGCACTCTCCCCTTGCCCTGCCCCCAGAGCCTCTAGCCATCCAGGCTGCCCTTGTCTCCCTGACCTTCCCAGCCACCTCCCCTCCTCCAGCAGCTGGTCACAGTGGGCCTCACCCACCTGGCTCCGTGGCCTCCGTGGGCAAGGGCAGGGCAGAAGACCGGGCTGTTTGATAAGAATCAGGAGATAAGGCCCCTTGGGCTGGGGACACCTGAACTGCCCCTTGTCCTCCACCCGCCTGGGGGCTACTCCCCTGAGAAGGCCCACCGCTCTGGCTCCTCCACCTGGACCAGGGCCTGGGGACCAGCCACTACTGGGCCCTGCCTCACCAGGCCTGACCTGCGCTGTGGCCCAAGGGCCAGGGTGAGGAGCCCCACAGCAGGCTATGGTTCAGGTACCCACCCCATGTGGTGGCATCTCAGGGTCCCGTTAGGGGTGAGGAGTGAATCACAGAGGAGCCCACGTGAGTTGGCCCCATGAGGGCCCATCTGGACTCTGATGGGAAGAGGCTGAGATCCAGGGTTGTCCAGCAACCCTCCACCTTCAGTCACAGCCTGCATCCCTCCTCCCCACCTTCTCCCTGGCTTCTCCCAGGCACTGCCTTCCAGCCAGCCAGTTTCGTCCATCTGTCCATCCATCGGTCCATCACATGCTCACTCTGTGGCAGGATGCCATCCACAGCCCTAAGGGGGCTTGCATGAGTAGTTCCTAGGGGCCCCACCCCTAGGCCCCAAAGGAATCCCCTTCCTACTGCCCTTGTGGGATTCAGTGGACCAGAAGACGGACTCTGGAAGCAGTGACACGATGACTTACGGGGCTGCTGATGCCCCCAGTGCAGGCTCCGGACAGGACCAGGCACCTCAGGTCCCCCCTGCAGGCACCACGAGGGCAGGGGTCCTGTGTCTGAGCCCCCGGCAGCTGGCAGCGCTAATCTCAAAGGAATGCGCTGCAGCTGCCTGCGTGCTATGGCCCATGGGACCCAGGAAGCCCGGCCGGAGTCTTGGGCGTGGCCCAAGGGAGCACCTAGACACCCCAGTCCTGGGCAAGGGGGCATGGATGTGACAGGGACCACCCTAAGCATATGCTTGGCACTCCTGGCCCCTGCCAAGTCTGGGAGCTGGCCCAGGGTCACCTTGATAACCATGCCCCTGGGGACCAAGTGATGGATGGTCCTGGTACCCTGCCCCAGCCTGCCATGCTGACTTTCCCAGGAGCTAAGAATAGGTGGGAAAAATAGCGAGAGCCGAAGGGAGGAGTTGGGCAGCTAGGGAGGCTGCTCCCTCCTCTGACATCTTTGGTACCAGGCAGGACTGGGGCCGCTTAACCAACATGTAGGAGAGGGGCTCTGGGACTGTCAGAGCCGCCACACAGACAGCCACGGTCTGTGAGATGGAGCAGGCCCCAGGACCCTGGGCAGAACCCCCAGGTGCAGGGCCAGACCCCCAACCTGCCACTGGCAGAGTGACCATTTCTGGCATCCCCTCCCTCCCAGCCCCCACTTCATTAGTAGGATTCGGAGACTCAGAGGGATGGTTTTAGGGGAGCAGGACACCCTGCTGATCACAGCGGAGACCAGCTGGGCCTCTTTACTCCTGAGTGTCCCTGAACAGACCCTGCTGCTCTGATACTCAGCAGCCCCCAGAGGAGAGTGCACCTACGAGGACCTCTTTGCCCCAGCTGTGCAACCCCAGCCAGATGTGGGGGGCAGCTGCCCAGAGGCATGCCCCCCATCCTGCCACGCTGCCCCCACCTCCTCCTGCTTCTGCTGCTGGCCTGCCAGGTGAGCGCTGCTGCCAGTCCCCCTGTCCCACCAGCCTGCCTGCCCCTCAGGCTGACACCAGTCTGTCCCCTCTGTCCATCCATCTGTACCCCCAGCCGCAGGCCCCCTCCGCTCAGGTGATGGACTTCCTGTTTGAGAAGTGGAAGCTCTATGGCGACCAATGTCTCCACAACCTGAGCCTGCTGCCCCCCCCAACTGGTGAGCCCCGCCTTCGGCCCGAGTGCAGTCCCCCCAACCCCCACCCACCATTTACAGGTGAGGAAATTGAGCCATAGAGAAGCTGGTGACTAGCCCAGGGCCACAGACCAGGACATTTAAGAAATGGTAGAACTGCCCCAGAACTGGGGTGTTTCGTGACCCTCCCCTGCTGCTGGGCACCCCTCAGGCCCACGGCCTGGACACCGTCTTTCCTCCCATGGAGCAAAGCCTCGTGGCCCAGGAGGCAGACAGCGTGTGGGGGAGGTGGACCGAGAGGGGCAGGTAGAGGGCACCAGGGCTGGTGAGGGGGAAGGAGATGGGCCATTACCTGGAGTGCTCAGGCAGACTGAGGTACAGCGTTCTGGGCAAGTTCTGAAGATCACTCAGGTGCAAAGAGAGACACTGGGGCGGGAGGAGCTGCCTGGGAGGCCGAGCCATTGTTTGGGGGAGGGAGGGGGCCGGTGCTGGGCCCAGAAGGATGCCAACAGAATTGGGGTTCAGCCTCCAGAGGTGGAAGTGCTGCTAGAAGGGCACTAGGAAGAGGGAAGACCCTGGGTGGAGATGTGGAGTATCTGAGGGGAGGTGGCCGGGCAGAGCTGGAGCTCAGGATCAGGCTGGACAGAGGCGTCCAGGGCAGGCAGGATGGTCAGGGAGATCTGGGAGGCTGCCTCCTGGGGCGCAGACAGCGTACAACAGGGGGCTGTGCAGGCCAGGCCCTGCTGAGGAGCAACCCTGTCCCCGCCTCTGCAGAGCTGGTCTGTAATAGAACCTTTGACAAATATTCCTGCTGGCCGGACACCCCTCCCAACACCACAGCCAACATCTCCTGCCCCTGGTACCTGCCCTGGCACCACAAAGGTAACCACAGCAGGGATGTGGGGGGTTGGCAGAGGGGGCTCAGCCCAGGGGCGGGGAGCTGACCAGAGCCTGCCCCCGCAGTGCAGCACCGCCTCGTCTTCAAGAGGTGTGGGCCTGATGGGCAGTGGGTACGTGGGCCGCGGGGGCAGCCATGGCGAAATGCTTCCCAGTGCCAGATGGACGACAAGGAGCTTGAGGTCCAGGTCAGCCCGTGGCAGGTGCAGTGGGGGCTTGGGGGGAGGGGCAAGATGGCCCTCTCCAGCCCTGACTGGCCACTGCGATTTGCAGAAGGAGGTGGCCAAGATGTACAGCAGCTTCCAGGTGATGTACACCGTGGGCTACTCCCTGTCCCTGGGGGCCCTGCTCCTGGCCCTGGCCATCCTGCTGGGCCTCAGGTATGCCCACCGCCCTGCTCATGGGGGGCCCCAGCGGGCAGGGTGGGCGGGGACTGACTCGCTGTCCCCACAGCAAGCTGCACTGCACCCGAAACTACATCCACGTGAACCTGTTCGCGTCCTTCGTGCTCAAGGCCAGCTCTGTGCTGGTCATCGACACGCTGCTCAAGACCCGCTACAGCCAGAGGATTGGGGACGACTTCAGCGTGAGCGTCTGGCTGAGTGATGGGGTGAGCTCCCAGATCCGGCCTCTTGGCCTCCGGGCCCTGGGCGGCAGGCAGCTGGGAGGCCCGCACTCATGCTGCCCCCGCGGCCAGGCAGTGGCCGGCTGCCGGGTGGCCGCGGTGTTCATGCAGTACGGCGTCGTGGCCAACTACTGCTGGCTGCTGGTGGAGGGCGTGTACTTGCACAGCCTGCTGAGCTTCGCCACCATCCCTGAAAGGAGCTGCTTCCCCCTCTACCTGGGCATCGGCTGGGGTGAGTGGGCCGGTGCGCAGGGGGCCGGCGGGCTGGCCAGGGCCACGGGACCACAGCTGTTCTCCCCACAGGTGCCCCCATGCTGTTCGTCACCCCCTGGGTGGTGGTCAAGTGTCTGTTTGAGAACATCCAGTGAGTATCTGACTGGCGGGCCAGCAGGGGGATTCGCCTCTCCTGGCTGGGAGGTGCTGGGCTGGCCCCGTGGGGAATGGCCATGTGGCTCAGAGTGTGGGAGTGGCTCAGGGGTCTCCGGCCAGAGGCAGTGGGGGGCACTAAGCAAACCTGGTTCCCCGGGGGTGGAGGTCATTGGTAATTATCTCCCTTCTTTTCCTGAGGCACTAATTAGATCCCAAGGAATCAGGGGGTGGGGGGCTACGAGGCTGCCAGGACACAAGCAGGCCCCACCCTGCAGGTGCTGGACCAGCAATGACAACATGGGCTTCTGGTGGATCCTGCGCTTCCCCGTCTTCCTGGCCATCCTGGTGAGGAAATGAGGCACCTGCTGGCACCGCAGGGAGGGCCGGGAGGCTGCTGGCCTTGGCCCCCCAGCCCCTTCCTTCCTCATCGGCCTGCAGCAGCCTGAGGAGACAGACAGCATCCTGCCTGGCTGGACAGGGAGGGAGGCCTGGCACTCACCCAGGACACTGGCTGGCGCCCTGGGCCTTGGGCCAGGCTGTCCATCCTTGACTGGGTGCCCACAGCCCCAGGGCCCCAGGAGCCAGGGTCTGTCTGGCTGCCAGGCCCACCTCCAGGAGGGACAGGTGGGGGCCAAGAGCTGCCCTGAGCTGTGTCCCCCACACACACAGATCAACTTCTTCATCTTCATCCGCATCCTTCACCTCCTGGTGGCCAAGCTGCAAGCCCACCAGATGCGCTATACTGACTACAAATTCCGGTGGGTGTGGGCGTTGGGAGTGGGAGGGCGCCAGGCGGCTTGTGGAATCCCGGGGGCCAGAGGGAGTGTAGGTGGGGGTGGGGGCACCAGAGCCCCAGGGGGTGCTGGGCTGGTGGCTCAGTCTCTGCCCCCGCAGGCTGGCCAAGTCCACGCTGACCCTCATCCCCCTGTTGGGGGTCCACGAGGTGGTGTTTGCCTTTGTGACCGACGAGCATGCCCAGGGCACCCTGCGCTCCGCCAAGCTCTTCTTCGACCTCTTCCTCAGCTCCTTCCAGGTGCCTGCCCGCCCCTTAACCAACAGCCCAACCCCCAGGCCAGCCTGGGTGCAGCCCTGACCTCCCCCATCTCTCCAGGGCCTGCTGGTGGCTGTTCTCTACTGTTTCCTCAACAAGGAGGTAGGTGAGGGGGGTGTGGGTCTGGAACCAGCGCTGGGGTTGGGGTCAGGGGGAGTGTAGACATCCTGGCCCCACCCCTCAGGTGTGAGCCCTTCGTGTCCACCTGCACTTACTGGGCTCAGTTTCCAGGACACTGGGTGTCAGGCCTGCTGAGATGGGTCAGCCTCAGCCCGTCCTCAGGGAGTGCACCTGAGGGTGAGGGGGTCCCCAGGTGTTCCCAGACCCCAGCGTTCTGTGGTGACAGAGCCTGCCTGGCTCCACACCCAGGGCCCAATAGCCCTTCAAGGCCAGGGGGTTGGGGATCCTGAGAGGGTGGCACGGGCAGGCCCTGGGACTGGCCCGACCCACCTGCCCACCCCAGGTGCAGTCGGAGTTGCTGCGGCGCTGGCATCGCTGGCGTGAGGGCAAAGCACTGCAGGAGGAGTGCCATGTCGGCAGCCACACGGCCAGGCCCACTGGTGGCCCCCCCAGTGAGAAGCTGCTGCTCTCAAGGGGCAGTGGCAGCAACAGGACTAGCCAGGACCCCTCTACGGAGACCCACTTGGCTGGCGGCCTCCCTGGATTGGCTGAGAACCCCTTCTGAAGCCCCCTGGAACTTCAGCTGTGGCTGGACTCAGGTGCCCAGAGAGGGCATCACTGGACAATCCATAACCGATGCCCAGCAGAGGCAAGAGCGTGGGAGCCAGACAGCACCCTGCTGTCCACATGTTCCCCAGTGTGGTGGTCTGAGGGGCACCTGCTCTGTGCCAAGGGGTGGGGGAGGGGATGTGGCGGGGAAGCTGTTCTGTGAATGCATGCCCGTGTGTCCCCGTGTGTGTCAGTGTGTCTGAGTTAGAGAAAACATGTGTCCTCCAACAATAAAGAGCTCTGTGCTCACCCTGGGTGGACAGCTGGGCTGGAGGAGAGGGGCCAGCTGGGCCCAGGGCCTCCCCGTGAGAAGGGAGCAGCCGTGGACGGCCCGTGCTGGCTTGCTCCTTCTAGACTTCTCCTTGTTGCCCCATCATACAGGTGAATTGGAGCTGGAATCCCTGAGGGTGTGTGTGAGTGGTGGCTGGTGGTGCCCCACCAGCACGTGCCGTCCCCAGCCCTCGCGCCAGGGTGGGGTGGGGGGTGGCTCACCCCCACCCCGGGCCAGAGTGGATGGGCCCCACTCAGTCTTGGCCCCTCAACCCCCGGAGTGTCACCATTCGCCCGCAGAGGGGCATGAAGGGCGTCAATGGCCGAGGGAAGCCACCGACATCACAGTCCTTCTACCAACCCCACGTGAACATCCCTGGCTCCCTGCTAGAGCCGAAGCCGGGGCTGGACTCAGGCCCAGCAAGGGCATCACTGGATAATCCAGAACTAGATAATCCAGAACTGGATGTCCTCTACTGGCCTCTGCTTCATCCCAACTCTAGCCACCCCAGCAATCCGCAGCCCATGTAGCCGACTGAAGCAGGGAGAGATGGACCCCCAAAATCGAGACCGTCCAAGTGCAGGCGCAGCACAGTTTTCCAAAGACTGCGGCACAGCCCAACATAGCCACTTCACAGAGAATCACTGCAGTCCTTGCTGCTCCAAGCGCATGCGGAAGGGCAGCTGTGTGCGAGGGTGCTGCCCATTGCCTGGTGGGTGGGCACCCTGCTTGGCAGTCAATGAGGGCTGGCACTCATGCAGGAAGAGCCAGGTGGTGCGCCCTGAGTCCAAGCTGCCCCCCGGGGCGCGGTGCATCTGATGCAGAGGGTGGAGACAAGTGCAGGAGCAGTGCGAGGACTGTAGTCACCCTCAAGAGCGCCCCTTGTGTCCGGTGCCATGATGCCTGGTGGGGGGTATGCGTGGAAGGGGGTAGGAGCAGGGGCACTGTCAAAAGAGGAAGGGGCCACAGAAGCCAAGAGTACAAGCCAAATGGGCCAGCCAGGCGGCCCTGCTCCTAGGAGCTGGTGGGGGGTGACTGCCGGGACCCGGGGGAGGGGGTGTCCACAGTCCCTGCCCAGCCACGTGGGCTGGAGCTGCTTAGGCAGAGCTGAGCTAATTGCAGCAAATGAAAGGACAGGAGGCCTCTCAGGAAAGGTAAATAGAATTACTCACCTGCCAGGCACTGGGGCCCTCCTGAGGGGGCCCTCACCTCGTGCCACCGGATATAGCAGGGAGGGAGGGGCAGGAGGTGAGTTAAGGTAGATTGGGCTCTCCTGCGGCCCAGGTGGGATGCGATGTTACTATGATCGGTGGGGACTGCAGGGCAGGGAGGTAGTGTGGCTGGCTGCACCTTTGAGGACCTGAGACCCCTGACCTTGAGGCTTCAGGTCACTTCTCATCCCAGGCCCCCCAGGCTCCCTAGGCCCTAGTGCTCCTTTGAGCCCCTGCCCACAGGGGCACCCCTGCCAGCCCTCCATGCCCAGAAGCCTAGCACAGGGAGGGCACAAGTTCTCCTTCACGCCAGCTGAGCTCAGGGTTGGTGACTGCCCTGCGGGTGTGCCGCTCACCTAGGGGCCTCCTGACAGCCCTCCCCATCCTGACTCCCTCTGCCCTTGTCCTCCTTCACCCTGTCCCTGTCCCCAAGGGAACTGGAGCAGGCCGGTGGAGTCAGGAGTGGAGGTGGAGGCCTGGAAGGGGCTGGGCTCATCCAGCCAATAAACATTGGCTCTGACCAGGCCGTCCTGCAGGTGGGATGGTGGGGGAACCTGACTTTCTAACGCAGGGCCCAGCACCCACACAGCATCACCCTCCATTCAGGAAGACAAACACTCCAGGCCCTCTGCCCCTTCCCCATCTCTACTTCCCTTCCCACCTCCACCCCAGTCCAAATCTCAGGCACTTCCCCTAAAAGAATGCATGGGAACCACCCAGCACGTACGTGTGTGTGTGTGTGTGTGTCTCCCCACATGCATGCTACTAAAATGAGTGTGGAGACCAAGAAAGAGGAAAACATGGACTACAATAAACACTGATCAAACCTAGGAGAGTTGAGGGGCATCCCCAGGATGGCAGCTGTGTGCCAGGCAGAGTGGGTCACTGGGGGGAAGGAGCCTCAAGCAGGGCGAAAGTACAGGAGAGACGCCCTCAAGTGGATCAAAGTGACTGAACACACTGAGAGGAGACTTAGATGACCTGGTGGAGAGTTCAGGACTTAGTACATAGACAACTGAGCAAATGAAAAAAGAAGGCAATTAATAACTTCAAGGAAAACAAAAAGTTGGGCAGAAAAAAAAACCCCACAATTTACCACAAGGCTCATCTCTAAATACACAGATATCATAATGTAAATACTCAACACTGATGTAACCAAAGTTATGAGAGAAAGATCTAGGGAGGATAGCGGATAGTAAGAGCACGTGTGAAGTGGGAGTGGGGGACGGAATGAAATGGGAAAACCAAGAAGTAACGCTTCACGTATGCTATTTAGACATAGAAATACAAACCAAAGAATCAGCAGGAAAGTTGAAAATGGTTGGCTCTAGGTGAGAGGGTGGGAGGAGAAGTCTGAGGGCTGCAACTAGCCGAACTCTGACTGCCTCGGCCTCCTCCTGGACTCTATGGCAGCCTTCAGCCCCAGGTCCTCCCCCACCTGCCCTTTCTCTGACCTTGCTCTCTACTGCTCTCAGTCCCTGGTCCTGCTTCCTCCTCCTCTCCCTGAGTGCAGTGCCCAGGGATCAGGTCCCACCCTCCTCCCTTCTTTATCAACCTTAAAAAAAAAATCAATATTCAAATTACTCCCAAACTATATCTCCAACCTCTGTGGCCCTCCCAAATCCACTCTAGACTCAGCTTCCCTCTTGGCACCTCCACTCAGACATCCAATGGCAACTTAAATTCCACAGTCCATATCGAACTCCTTACCTGCCCCCTCACCCAGCTTCTTCCTCCCACGATTCACTTGAGGTAGCCCCCCTGACAGGTCTCCCCGCTTCTACCCTGAACCTGCAGCCTATTCTCAACACAGCAACCAGCGTGATCCCTTTACATCCAAAGTTTCCTCCAATGAATCCCATCAAGCATCCACCTCTCACCTCAGTTTACAGAAATGCAGGCGACAAAGGAGTCTGTTAACACTACAAAGATGCAACCAGTGAAAACCAGAGTTTGGGAAACTCCAACATCAAGTATCCAGCGGGTCTTCAATCATAAACGGAGGGGAAATGTGGGAGGAGGCACTGTGACTAAGAAAGACTTACGGGACGCATCAAGCAGATTCAGCCGATGCACTTGGCCTTTCTATTCTGAGTCTATAACCCATGTGGAATATATTATTTTAGACACTAGGGGACTATGGACTGGGTGTTAGATGACATTAGGGAATTGCTGTTCATGCTCAATTTACACGAACGTGCTCAGGGTACATGCTCAGGAAGTACTTACTAAATTCAGATTTTGATAACAGTAAAAGCTTAAAAATCAGATTAAGGCCAGTCTCCTACAAGAGGTCACCATTTCCTCATATGTAAGATCAGGGTAATAAAATCCACCCTCCGCCCCCCGAGTTGTCAGCACTGAATGAAAGCAGACAGTGATATGAGCACCACCAAGGGTAGAACATGATGGAGGACTGGGCACCCCTGTTCCACCAGGTTGCTCCCCTCGTCTCCTCTACCCTCACTGTCTGAGGCGGGGAGAGGTGTCTCCAGCCACTCATGGTCAGCCAGGCAGCCCACTGTGCTGGTGAGGGTTATGTCTCCAGTGCCCCCAACCGAGTTCCTCACCCCCCACCCCAGCACAGCCTGTTAACCACATTCCCACCTCCAAGGTGTGCTCGGCAAAGACTCCAGGTCCATGGCCTCTATTTCAGATAATCTAAGTTGGCGGGGAAAGCGGGAATGAAAAGGCCTTGCGGGGTATCCCATGGGCCCACCCACACAGGGGCAAGGTACCACTGCTAGCAGGAGGGTGGCTGTGGGCAGGGGAGACCCAGATGCTGGGGCCCGGTGTGGCCCCATTCCCACCTTCCAGCCCCACAGGAGGGAGGAATGACCTAGAGAGGGCTGGGAGCAAAGTTAAGTCAATTTTTAACCAACGCAGCACGATATTAGACATTCCCCGGTGTGCTGCCAGGGGGCTCCAGCACCCCTTCGGAGAGAGGCCTTTGAACCACCACAGCCCATACCCTCCCTTCACATGGGGAAACTGAGGTGGGACAGGAGAGTGACGTGCCCCAGGGCTCACAGCAAGGCCACGACTGCGGTCGCCAGGATGCAGATGCCCAGCCCCGCTGAAGCCTGGTGGCTGAGTGCCCCGTCAAGTGCATCCACCAGGTGACTAATAGCGGCAGCAAGCACTAGCACTGGGCAGCCGCCCAGGAGGCAGGTGCTGAGCTCCACCTGAGGAAACTGATGCTTGGAGACTCAGCAACTTGCTCAATGCCACAAGCGCAGCAGTGGCCTGGCTGGACATCACCCCATCCTTAGTGGTCTAGGACACGCTGGGTGGAGGGCATGTGTGCCTGTGTGCCCACTCAGCCTCTGGCCACAGGTCCCTGCACCCCAGGCAGGCCACGCCCACCCCCTTCCAGCCACAGAGGGGGGCTGCTTGGGTGACCCAGCCCAGCAGGCACGCAAACCCTTGGCAGGATGCCCCACAGGTCCCTGGGGAGCAAACAGGCCTGTGTGGTTACAGGAACTTGGCTCAGGGCCTGGCACCAGCCAGCACCCACTGGCAGCAAGCCATGGCTGCTGCTTATTCCATGAACCATCCTTCCTGCACCCCCATCCCTGGGGAATTCCCCCCAGGAAAAGACACCTCCCAGAGCCACCTGTGGGGCTGCTGGAGCCCCAGAATACTCTAACAGGAAAGGGTGTTCCCAAAATAAATTCCGGTTTGGCCTGTCTGCCAGGGCTATGTCCAGGTTTGAAGGTTGAGTGCACTTGGGGTGCTCTGAGCCCTGCAGCCACTCCTCCATCCGGACAGCAGAGGAGCTGTTCCCCAAGGACCCAGTGTCGCAGAGGGATGTGGGATGTGTTACCTTCCAGGGCCCCCACCTCCACCTCCCACTGCCCCCCAGGAGGCCCAAGGCCCCTGGTGGAGCCCAGGGATCAGACGGAACTTCTGGGCCTGGACCATGACCCTGGATTTCCAGCCCTGTGTGGGCAGCCGAGACAGGGGCCTCACAGACCAAGTGGCCAAGCCAATGCCACCCCGCCTTTATTCACTCGTCCTCAGGTTCCAGTCAGACACTTGGATTTGGAGGGCACAGGAAGACCCTCCCAACTCACCACACAGGGCAGGACCCACTGGGCAGCCTCACCAGCTCAGGCCAGCCCCATGCCCCTTCCCAAGGCGACCCCTTGGAGGGGGCGCCCAGCGGTGTCCCAGGCCCAGGCAGCTGGTGCCGTCCTGAAGCTGACACAGGGAAGGAAGGGGCCAAGCTGGAGAGTGGGGTGAGGGGTCAGACACCCCGTGTCCAGGCCAGAGACGCAGCAGGGGCCAGTGGGGGACCCATGCTGGGCATGGGTGCGATCACCCTTGTCCTGCCTCCTGGCCACCTCAGGAGCTAACCCAGCCCAATCCCACCAGCACAAGAGAAAACAAAGGCCCCCTCGTCTCCCTCCTGATCCTGGAAGTGGCCAGGGGTAGGGGGGTGGGGGCAGGGGAAGGTGAAGGGAGTCAGGGTCAAGGTCCTGGGGGGCAGGCAGGACCAGGCAGCTCAAAAGAGCCACCTAGGCCCACGGGAGGGCAGGGGCTGGCAGGGCCCAAGCCCTCCTAGTGTTGGGTAGCTTGAGATCCCCCAAGAGGAAAGGAGGGGGCTCAGGGAGGAGGGGCAGGCCTCGGCCATCAATCATGTCCTGGTCCTGGGGTTTTCAGACCACTGGGAGCAAGGCCCCCTCCCCCTCCCAGAAGGTGGGCCCACAGGAGAGGAGGAGGCCAGCAGCAGACTGCACCCAGATCTCCCAGAGGCCAGGGGAGGGGCACCGGCGCGCCTTAGGACTTCTTGGCGTCCTGCGTGTTCCGGCGTTTCAGGTCACTCAGGTCGATCGGCTTGAAGGCTGCCAGGGGACAGAGCGGTCAGCGGTGGGCGCAGGTGGAGAGGCAGGGTCTGTCCCTCGTCCTGCCCGTCTCTGAAAGCCCTGGGACCCAGCCCACCCTGCCAGGCTGTCTTGGAAGCAGGAGCAGGTGGGCCTTCCTGCCCCCAGCTCAACCCCCTGGCCGGCCCCTCCCTCCCAGGCCAGCCCCACTCACTCTTCAGGCTGGGGTTAGGGACCTTCTCCACATACTCCTCCACGAGGCCCCGCTCGCTGCCCGACATCTGGCTGCGCAGGTCCCGCTCCACGCCCTGCCAGGCTGCAGGAAGCAGGGGTGGTCAGGGGCTCTAGACCCCCAGGCCTGCAGCATCAGGCAGTCCGGCCCAGTCAGTGTCCAAGCTGGAGGACACCCTCTCCTGACCTTCCCCCCCAATCAGAGTGGCCCCGCAGGCCCCCTGCCCCCAACTCCCGCTTCACAGCTTTTGGCCCCCTGGCCTAGCCTGCTCTTGACCTGTTGTCCCCAACACATCCCCATTCCCTCGGGGAGCCCTGCCCAGACCATGCCCCTTTCAGCCTCATGGTACCATGACCAGAGCTGCAGTCACAGTGGCATATGAGCCTCATTGGGGTACAGCACTTCCTCCAGGCAGGCCCCCCATCTTTCCCGCCTCCGCCATCCCCCTCCTCCTGGCACAAATGTTGTGCACACATGCTCACACACCCCAGCCACACCACTTCCAGGATGCCCCAGGTTTCCCAGGGTGCACTGTCTTCCACGGCCCCCCTCTCCCCAAGCAAACACCACTGGCTCCAAATACTG